TGCCTGGGTTGACTAGTTGCCTGGCTGGCATCTGGGGGCCCAGTCCTTTTCTGGCACGTGGCTTAGCGTCTATAAGTTTGACATTTGCGCAACGCAAAATGACAACTGCATACCCAAGTCCTGGCAGAGTTGCAAAATGAAAAAGTTGCCAACACTCTGCTGACATTTGCATTTGTCTTTGTGGAAGGCGATGGGAGTGCAGGTATGGCCCGAGGTAAGTAGCAAAAGAAAAACCTTTCAAATTAGGACCAACTGCCGGAGTTTCATGTCGCACGTCTGGCCGGGTAAAAGAAATATGCAAATAATTAGCTGCCTTGCAAAAATTGTATTCGCAAAGTTTCAGTTTGAAGCTGAAGTTTCTGCCGCTAATCAATTGTATGTCCTGATAGATGCACACATAGATACAGGGCACTGAAGACAGCATCCTGTCTCCTGAAGGAGTCCAAAAACAAAGACATAAAGCGAACATTAGGAGCATTTGCATTGCCAAGCGTCCTCCATCTTTTATCTCCCTGGTTGGCAGCTACTCTAGACAGCTTTTGCACACTTTTCCGCTTTTGTTATTCTGCGTATTATGTTACCCATTCCTCGCCACATTCCGCACTCCACACCCTTGTGTTTTTTCCATGCATGCCACTTACATTTTACTTTACGCGCTTTCCCACGCAGCGGAAATGCAGAAATAATATGAGGAATGTCGGGTATCCCGCGAAAAATTCCATTGGCGGCGAACTGATTGCCTGATATGCTCCGCTGAATTGCAGATACCCCCGTATCACAAAGAAAATGCATGCAGATGGAAAAAATTTCCATGCGTTAGGTAAGTGAAAGGCTGGCAGACAGGGACAGTTGAAGAAAAGGGGGGTGGAAAGCACTAAAAAGTATTATCTAAATGATAATTTGTTGCTTTGTTTTGTTGAGTAATGTAATTTTATATTCCTCCCTCACGGCTTTTTGCATAATGCACGATGGACATTTTTCCGCTTCCTGTTTCGCGTGGAATCCCTTAAAACCAAGCCAAACAAAGGTTTAAGGATATACTTTTGACTGTTGACAATCGCTTTACTCGACTTGAAATTGCTCATACGACGAGTTGGTCGAAAGTCATTGCAATTCTGTAATACAACTCAACGTAAATGACACAGCTGCCAGTTAAATTTGATTCCAAAAGTCTGACTTCAAATTGATTTATTTGATTTAATCTCCCAGAGATTAAGAAGTCCAAAAAGGTATTTCTGCTTCACTGTATTATTTTCGCTCACTATTTGGCTCAGTCAAACTGCCGTTTCAACTAAAGCAAACAATGTTAAATTCACATAAGTTGTGTCAACTAACTAACAGCAAAACTATTTCGCATTACGCTTTAAAGGACAATCCAATTGAATGGGATTGAATCGTTTTTGGAGCGCTTCACCTGCAGCACTCAGCTCATTCGGAATCAATTGGAATTGCAACGCAACTTGCAATGCAATTAAATGCCAAACAAAGTTCTGAAAATTCAATTTGAGAAACTAAAATCGCCGTCCCTATCTGCCCATCTCCATCTCCGTCTCCGGCGCCGGATCTTTATTCCTCCGGTTGTCCAGTTTAGTAGTAGTAGCTGCGGACAAGTCAAAGGCCGAAAGGCAAAAGGCATAAGAAAGCCAATGGCAAAGCTCTGAAATTCAATTCTGTTGCGCTCGATTGCGTTGCATTTCAATATAAATATTTATTTTATTTATATACCAGAAGGTGGAGGAGCAGTGGCCCACCCCAAATGGACAGGGCGACAAGTTGCAGCTGACAGCAAAAGATGTTGTGGAGCCCATTTGTTTTAGTCAATGGCAAGCACAAAGTCACTTCGAGTCCACTCAGCCAGTGGAGTTCCAGTTGAGTTCTTGGTATGCCAGCAGCCCAATCTGGAGGCCCCTTTCTCCCCTTTCTCCTCCTTACCCTTTTTCCACCGCTCCCTGCAGCAGTCGAATTCAATTTCCAAACTGATTTTCCCTGCCATGTGCGAGTGTGTGTGGAAATGCACATTTCCAACTGCAATCGCCATAACTTTGGCTTAGCCATGGGTAACCATCTCCAAGTCCTTGTCACAACAAATGCTCAGCTGGGTGGGTCAACCTGATGCAGCTTGGCATTCGGAAAATGCATTTGCAGCCGGCCATGCTGGCCAATTTGTACAGGCGTAGTGTTAAACTAGAACCATTTTACATACCAACTAGTTGGCCAACATGTTCAGCTAAACCAACACGCTCTTATCTACACAGAAAAAGTTCAAGCTGCAAAATATTTATTAAATATGATAAAAATGTATATCCAAGGGTCAACTTGAAGAACACGCGTGTGATATCTAATTGGTAAGATATTCAAATTAAACTAAGTATATGCATTTGACAGTCAATTCCTATGAAAGATATTATTTGTTATGTTAAGTGTGTCTTAACTTCTAACTAAGCATTAAGCAAGTTTTTTGAGTGGCACAAAGATGCAACTTGTAAGCTAATGAGCCGATAAACCTTCACCTTGCTGCCCTCTGACCCCGCACACTCATTCATTTATGCACTTGCACTAACGTATATTTGCGTGATATGAGTATTTCATGCACTCAGCCGCATTAAGTTCGTAATGCCGTGTGTAATTATTCTTTGTTTAAATATTTCACAAAGATGCACTTAAAATGTCAGCGCAAAAAGTGACGTGCTTTCACGCACACCGTAACACATTAACACACACACACACACACTGGCACACACACACATGTGGGAATGGCACAACCTTTGGCTGAAATGTGTTTTCGCCTTTTCTTTACGCTGGCTCTTTCATTGCGATTTCCCACTCTTACACCATTTTGCACATTTGCATTTTTATGAACATTTTGCTGCTTACCCCAAGCCCCCCCTCCCCACCGCAGCCCCCGCAGCCGTCCCGCTCTAACTGCCGTAATGCATGTCCTTTATATGCGCATACACTAAATATACATTATGTACATACATACGTGGGTCAGAGGGGGATGGCTGCACAGTTGTAAGAGTGAGCCGGCATTAAAGTGTATTAAATTACTTAAGCCGGCGAGCAACAACGAAGACATATGCTCGAATTTTAAAGCATAATTTCTCAAGCATAAATCTTTGTGGCTCTTCGCGAACAAACAAAAATTAGTTGCACTCGCCGACAGGCGGGGAGAAATCAGGAGAAGTGCGCGAGCAGTGTGGCCAGAGGCAGAGAAATAGCAGGCGGGAGCAACGGTAAATTATGCCCCGCAATATGTCAGCATGTTGCCACGAAGCGACCAAGGGAGTGCGAGCGGCATAGCAACGGGGAGTGGGAGTGGGAGCGGGACGAACAGATGCTGACTGCTGCACCCATTGCGTTTGTCACACTGCGGGGGTCAGAGCTTCTCCCTTGACGAAGGGGTGGGGTGAGGTGTTGGGGCTCACTCCCCTGCTTAATCAGAAATTATTTGAAAATGTAAAGTCGACATGACGACGACGCACGCACAGCGAGTGCAACCGCAAGGATACCAGCCCAGCGCCACCCAAAAAACAACGCCCCCGCTGGCAGCTGCAATTTGCACACGCCACGACCCTATGACCCACTTCGTTCCGAGCGAGAAAGGAAAGAAATCTGCAACAAGGAGCCAAACAAAAGCCAGCTGAAAAACAAAAACCGCCGACAACGAATGCAAGAAAGAGCCCCAAAGAAGCGCCCCCAACTTGCATAGACTAATGCAGACTTTGCACCATGCTGAGCGCGACAGAGAAGAAAGCCGCTGGTGGGGAAAGGGCAGCGGGCTGCAAAGAAAGACTGCCAGAGTCGTGGCTCATTTGTTTGGCCGACTCACACAGAAAAGTGAGACACCGAACAAGACAGGATATCCAGAGGAGTATGTCCCAGGATGCCCTATTTATTGATACCCTCGCACTCATTCAATTCAAAATGAGAGCTACCTTTATCAGCGAATTATATGTGAGGTGAAGGGGTTCCCTAAACAAGTTTCTTCATTAAGTATACTGTTCATAATTCGCTGGTATAAGAACCATTTCGCTATCATCCATCTGCACTCCTTCAATTCAAAATCATAGTTATCTTTATAAACGAGTTACATGCTGAATGAAGATATTTCTTCATTTGGTGTCTTTTCATAGTTAGCTCGCATGAAAACAATTTCGTTACCATCCACCTTTATTTCACTTCTGAGGGTATCTCATTCGCATATTAGTTTGCCGTTGTGGGTGGCATGACAAAAGGAGAAGCCGCGAAGTCTTTATTTTCGTGGCATTCGCTGTGATCCATTTCCACCAGGACTTCATCTTGAACTAGTTGGCAAGCCTGAGTCCGCACTGCCACTCCCACTTTTGCCCCCATAATAATAAGTCATGTTAACCGAAAACCGGGCGTTGTGTTTTTTTTGTTTGTGCTGCTCCCCCATCTTCATTTTCCCCCTTTGTATTTTTTCCAGCGCGTGGCATCAACAAAAAACTTTTCGCGCACAATCAGTTGCGTTTCAACGTGGCACTGCATCATTGTTGCAACTGGCAACTCCTGCTGTTGCTGCTGTTGCTGCTGCTGCTGCTGCTGCTGCCATTGTTGCCTTTACTTATAATTTACTTTTACTTGTGCGCTTTGGCTTTGTGCCGCTCGTGTGTCGTGTAAAATATTTGCACAACAAGCCAAGAAGTCGGAGGAAAGCGGGCAACTCGACAATGGCACGAGCATTAACCATAATAATTTTTGTGGAAGGGGAAACTCGGATCCCGGACATGCCCACATACTCAAGGTTTCTGCAGCTGCCATTGTTAATCAGCAGCTGGTAAACAAAACTTGCATTGAGTCTCGTCAGAAAGGAAGTCGCAAATGCAGCGATCCTACGGAGAGAAATCCCATTTACTTGGTTGGTTTCGACCTGACAAATTGTTGTTTGGACAAATTGCTTCGCAAATTTCTTTAATCACTTAAATTTGTTTCAACTAGGCTTATGCACATGTCCCAGCAAATCAGTGAACATCAAGCAATTGAAGTAATAAATCATTTACTTTGCACACCAGAGCGTGAAACCGCAAAAAGGCGACTGAAATTGCAATTACAGATTTAGCATTTCTGGGGATTTGACCACGCGAGGACTACGAGGAAATTGTGCGCCTCTGTAGCCAAGAACGTTTGCGTGGGAGTCGAATGGAAGGAGCTAAGTCGGCCTCCTTGCGGCCGGACTCTGGCTTGATCTTCTCCGGATTGGACCGACTGTTGAACTTGGCACTCCACATGCCGTCTTGGGCGAATACGGCTGGACAGCCTGCAGCCAATTTCCCAGGCTCCGATGGACTGATCGGGGACTTGCGAATCAAGGAGGATACGAAGCGTTTCAAACCCATTTGCGTTAATTTCGGCTACCGCATAAGACGGCTAATTTTGCTGGAATTTCTTAGTTTTAAAGTAGCTGGAACGTATAAAATTGCTCTGTGACTGATAGCCAAAGTATTAAAATGAATAAGCTGAAGTGAAGTCTTTCTCATGGCTCATTCCTCCGAAAAGGAAAAAGAAAATAAATCAAAGAACTTTCAACTGCTGACTTGGCTGGTCCTTCTTGACTCGCGGAACTCAATTAGGCCCAGTTGCAATTGCTCAATTCGATAATCGATTTGCTGCCCATCTTTATGGCGAACTGAGTGAAGGAAAATTGCTTACCAGCCAGAATTGTTAACCAAGTCATAAATACACAGCTGTATTTGTGTGTGCATGCATGTATGTGGGGTCTGGCAACTTTTGCTCCCCAAATCAAAATGCAATGCGAGCGCTTTGCAAGTTTTTGGCCCCGACCCATTTTGTGGCACATCCACAGCCACATCCACATCCACATCCAGCTAGTCAGGCCACGAAGCTAAAATAATTGATAACAGATTATGTTTTACAATCTAAGCAAGGAGAGATATAATACGAGCGTTTTAATGGCCACGTGCAGCGGGCACACGTAGAGAACACCCGGATCCGGACTCGGCTCCACTTCCACTGCCCCTTCTCCGGCTTTATCAACCCGGAGACCCCGGTTCCGAGTTACCCGCAAAACGTTTGCAAAACTTAATTATTTCGTTTTGACCTTTTTGTCTTCATGTGTGTGCGAGTTTGGATGTGGGTTTGGGGTCCGGGGGTACGGGGGTACGGGGTCCGGAGATCGGGAAGTGCGCAGAGATGGACAGTTAAAAAAGTTATTTATTTTATGGCCGAAAGTTACTTTGGCCTGTTTTATGGCTCCAAAAGCCGGAAGGGCGAGGAAACTCTAGTCGCCCAGTCGATTGCCAGTGCTGATGAGCTGAAAAACGAAATAGCTACATTTGCCACATCATAGTTATGTTTCTAATAACATTTTGCAATTAACAAAAGTAAAAAAAAAATTACTCATATAATAGCCAATCATTTTGGCTATTCTGGAAGTTCATAACAACTTATCTAGTAACTCTAGCCATCACTACATGCGTTTGCAATTAAAAACGCAACCAGATTTTCCAAGTGAATAATTTTCCCATCTTTATTTAGGGCTTTTTAGCTTATTTTTCTTCGGCCATCACTTAGTGCTTTCCTTGACTTCATGTGGCCCGGTGAATTCACTGGGGCGTGGATCATAAATCAAAAACGAACAAGATTTGAAACTGGAACAAACGTGGAGCAGAGCCCCTTGGCCACATTATTCATGAACCGATATCTGGGAAACGCTCTTGGGTAGCGACGGATCCAAAACGGCATCAGTGTGCCGGCCTACGGAGTGATGGGAGGACTCCAATTGGGACTGGGATGGCGATTCGTTCAAGCCGCTAGCATCCAAATCCTCCTGGTTCTCCATCGCCCGCAACACGGAGTCCTTGTAGAAGGCGGTCTCATCGATCTTACGCCGATACAGTCCGGTTGGGTGCTCCGGATCGAAAACAATGTCCGGCCGTATGTCGCTGTCGGTGACCAAGACCCGAGCGCCGGGAATCGGCAGGAACTTGAACAGGCGCTTTCGCAACTTGGGCATATAGGTGACCCGCTGGTGGTCGGGCACCTGGGTCAGTCGACTGGGAATCACCTCGGGCAGCTCAATGGGGTAGTCCATCAGACGCCTCTCCGGCGGAAGCTTCTGCTTGATGGCCTCCAGTTGGCGGGCGGTCAGCTGCATCGGTCGCTCGCCATCCTTCCACCGCTCCTGGCCACTATTGAAGGCGATCTTCTTGTTGTTCTTCAATTGCTTGCGGATCACGCGCTTGGCCGCACAGTTGTAGGTGATCTTGGGCACGTACGGCGGGACCGGATACGTCCGGATGGATATGGGATGTCGCTGCGGCTGGCTCAGCATGTTAATGTACTTGGAATCGGCATACATGCTGATCGGCTTGCCCTGCTTTTTCGAGGAAGTGGGTTTCTTGGAGGGCTTTGGTCTATCCCTGCGCCCCATCAGGAAGAGATGCCGGTGGCCCTGTCCCTCGACGTGGCGCCAATCCGGCTCACAGAGTCGCTTTCGACTGATCCTCTCAAATGGCAAGCGGCGAAACTTCAGACGCTTCTGGTCATCGATCATCAGCTGCAGTCCCGCCACACTGGTCTTGCCCGCCGGACAAGGACACACGTTCGGATAACTGGTGCAGTAACGCCCAGGAGCCGGCTCCATGCTAATGTGGCGCCGGATCAACCGATTGGGCTTGGTGGGCACGCAGGAGAGGCGCAGGAACAGGTGCGGATTGGGGCGCGGTGTCTTTGTGACGGGAACGGCATTTGCGGCCAGCTCAAAGATGTTTGTATGCGTGTCGCAGGGACCGGCATCCTTGGGATTACGCCAGCAGCCAGACAGATTGGATATCATCGCGTGCGTGGTCGGTCGACGATCGCGGGCATCTGGATGGGTGTGATTGCAACACTTTATTTTAATACACATCTCTTGCCATAGCCTCTAAACCTTAGCTATTATTATCTGGTATCCACTACTTACTTGAAAGGAAGATGCCCTTTTGCAGGTTCGGGCGCTTGAAGAGCCTCTCGATTTCCGCCGGAAGTTCGTAGAAGTGGTAAGGCGGTGGTTTGATGGATACCCGACTGTGATTCGTGTGCGGCTTGGCGAATACGGAGCCCTTGGTGCCCTTCAGCCGGAGGTACGGTTCCGGGGGCACTCCGTAATGATTGGGGGGCAGTTGCCAGCCCCTCCATTTGGTCATGTTTCGATCGATGTGGAGCGGTCGCCGTTCCGGATACGGATTCTTTGGCGTCTTGTCGAAGCCCGTAATGTGGCGGTACTGGTCATAGGTGGCCTTGCTGAAGGCCTCTCGTCGGTTTTCTGGGAAAAGGATTAGTGTTCAGCTCCTTTTGAAACTGTAAGAGAACTTACCCTTTTGGCAAGCCACATTGTAATGCTGACCAGCCAACTTAAATTGCTTCTCCAGTCGCGGCAAATTTTCCCTTCTAATACGATTGCCTGGACAGAACCCTTATTAATGAGTGATTCGACTGCATTTTGAAATCCAACTTACGAGACGCCATAAAAAGCGGCAGACTCATCCGAGTGGCCACAAAGTTCTGGCGGTCCTCATTGTTGATCTTCTGTGTGCTCTTCTCCATGTTTGTCTTGCTACTTTAATTCTTAAATATATACATTTACTTTACAGAGCTGGTGTTTGTACAGAAATGTTTGGAGATAAATGAAGCCCGGTTTACTGAGAATTATAGTTTATACATATATGTATCTAAACTCGTTCATGATTCATGGCGGCAATGATTGCAGGCAAATTAATAGCCAATAAATGGTTTCTAATAATTTAAGCCGAGTAACAAATTGCTCCAGCAGAATGCCAAATGTTGAATTCCAATGTATCGATAAATCCGAACACTCAGATTTAGATGGTAATCCATCCTAGTAGATATATTTCCAAAGGTACAATTCTGACTACATGCCCAATTTATCAAGGTTTGCGATTCGCTGCGAATCGTACTTCGCCATGGCCATGGCTTTTACAACCGATTCGATGTTCAATTTATTGTTTGTTTATCAATTTGCAAGGACAACCGAAGCCATCAATTTAGTCCAATTTAAATTGCAGACCATTCGACAACCGAATAATTTGGTTACGTTACCCAGATATCCGCACACACGCCCTCCCAGCCGAGAATATTTGTAAATATATCCGTCCGCCCATCTCTGCACACACATATTGGCCACATAATTAGCGTAGCCAAGCGAACTGATTAACTTGCATTCAGCGATTTTCAATTGAATTTTGCAGTTCGTTGATTTGTGCCAAAAAAAAAAGGAATGCCACCGAATACAAAAAATTCGCAACAAAAAGCTGTGTGGTATGAAAAGCGGAGACTGCCGTGCAATTTCAATCTCAATTGCGAGAGAAGGGCGGGCAATGTGGGCGTGGCTCCAGTCAGAGAAGCCCGAAGCGGAGCACTGGCTTTTTGCTGCACCGAAGAATGGGAAAATATGCAACCGGGCAAATGATGAATGTGAAATGTGCCATTAATTAATTTGATTAAATGCAGGCAATCAGTCGAGCGAGGGCCGCCCAAGGGGTTCCAATAAAATGAAGGGCGTATCCAGGGGTAGGCGGTAAGAATTCCCCAATCCGTACAGCCAGCCAAAGGATGAGCACCATTTAAAATGTTGCAGAAGAGCAGCCCCAGTACTTAAATGCGCCCACGAGATAATAAAGTACGGATTTAACTATTTCCAATACGTTTAAAAATTATCCAAAATGTAGTTAAATACACTGGGATTTGAATATAATGTGTTTTCATTATGCTTTCTCGGCGTCTTCATATGTTCTAATGACCTTTGGCTTGAGTTCGTTCTTGCCGTTCTTTCCCTTGCCCTTTTTGGCCGCCTTCTTGGCCTTCTTCGCCTCCTTTTTAGCCTTCTTAGCCGCCAGTTTTTCGCGCTTGGCCTTCTTGCGCAGCTCCACTGCAGCAATTAAAAAGCTCAAGTTTAGCACAATGTTTGATGTTTTACCAAAATCAACCAACTTACCTTTGACAATTCGGGCGGTGGCCAGATTGACGGGCAGCGGAGCGCACTTGAAGCCCGCCGGTGGTGCCTTGGTCAGTCGGATGAACCGGTTGCCCGTGGCGTAGAGCAATCCCAGGCAGGCTTGTGGACGGATGCGGCTCTTGGGCCAGTTGGTGAAGTACAGATCCTTGAGCTTGATCTCCGTTTTCTTCACGCCCTCAATGTCGCGCCAGTAGTACATTTCCCGCGAGGTCGTCTGATCCCGGATCTTCCAGCTGTGCTTGGGTGGATACTTTTGGTAGCTGTTCAGACAGCTGGGCTTGTCCACACAGAACCAGACATCTGCATCCGGATAGAACTTCATTGCGCCTTCTGAACTAAGTTCCGACGATTAAAAATTTAAAACCGAAATTTGGTGATATTTTTGCTTCTATTTCGTCAAAGTATTTGTCTAAATGTTGAGCTAAAAACGAGAATTGAAATTTGAAGTTTTATTTAAAATGACAGCTGTGTTAGTCGAGGCTAACTTGAACCTGTTTTTTGTATTTTTCCTTCTGCTTCATCTGCTTAAAATGTATTTTATTCCGCCTGCGAGAATTAAACCCAACTAAAAGCAGCTAACTAACCGGCTACTTACTCTCAGCCGTAAAAACTAAGCAGGCACTTGCTGCTAAAAGTTAAGCTCGTTAGCAGGACGATAAGGTAGTGAGTTGGTAGGGGCAAGGTGTCCTGACTTGTCACACCAAAGCGACAAAGGTGATGTCGAAAAACTGTCAATTAAGTTTAATTATTTTATGCAGCAAGAGAGTGGAAAGGATCTCGGGGCACACACACACACTAACACACTGGGGCAGCTAATGTGCAAAAGGCGTCTTATGCAAACCCAGCGGAGTGGAGTGGAGTGGAGTGAAGGCTAAGCAAAGTCAATTATCCTAGCAGCTTTGATGCAAGTAATTGGCATAATGAAATTTCCTCTCCAGGCCAACCGCAAAGAATAGAAGCCGCAGGAGCAGCCAGAGCATCACGAGCAGCAGGATGAGCAGCAGTGGTAGTAGCCAGTAACCAGTAACCAGCAACCAGCAACCAGTAACCATAACCGTATTAGCATATCGCATAGTTCCGGGGTTAACTGACAAGCCGTGGCTTTTTAAGTTCCTGTCCTGCGTATTGAGTAAATATTTAAGCAGCTCGCCAGCTGTCGCACAATATTAATAGCATGCATTCGGGCGCAACTTGAAGCGAAACTCGACTTCAGTTCTTCTGGCCGTGGGGAAAAAAGGAAAGGGACAAATAGTCGAAGAGCAGCCCGTGGCCCCAAAGTGCAAATATGTTGCGGCCAAAGCCGCAAAAACGTTTAAATATTTTATAAGCCAAAGGCACTTGCCAGCCGCAGTTGCAACTGAGCCAGAGCAGCAGCCAGAGGATAAGGAACAGCTAACTGCTGCAGTTACCAAATCGTCAACAACTAAGGCAGACAGCACAGATCCACACGTATATATGTGTACGGCTATAATATGCACATTCCTATATACAAGTATATCCCTGTCTAATGGGAATCGGTTCGAGTTGGCTGCTGAAAAGCGAGGAGTATATTGGATGAGAATGCCAGCTTAGAACAGATCTATTTTGCCTTTTTAGCCGAAAGCTGCTGCTTGTCGAGCCTCAAATGCTGTCTGTATTTGCGGATGTGGTGGGTTCCATTTTAAGTTTCAAATTCGTACAGCTTCCAACTTGAGTTCTGTATTATTATTTTTCCAGCTAATGGTCAATAATGCAGATGAAACAAATTTAAGTATTTACAAACGCAGGTCTTAAAACTGCTGATTCTGCGTCGCTGCTAAGGGAATATTTTGTATTCAATGCTGGATATCATTATGTCGACCCATTATTTCGCTATAATCTCTCTAAATACCTCGACTCCTTTAAGTTGATTCCGTTGCCATGTTGCCCAGCTCGTTTGGCATTCCCCTAATGCCATGAATTTTCGTCGGTTGCACTTTAGACCGCCCCACCCCTCTTGCACCAGCAAACCAAGGGATACTGCACATTGTCTTTGGTGGTTGCGGTGGTGATGGTGGTGATGATGGTGGCGCTGGGTGGTGCAGGGTGGTGTTGTAGCAGCGCTGGCTGTATTGTTGCATTGTTTCGGTTGCATATGAACGACAGCTTTCCACACTTTTTATCGCTCCACTCTGCCACTTATTATAGCATTTTTCTCCGCTTTCTTGGCTTTTGTGCGCAAATTTCCATGGGGATGCAGAGCCTCGAAGTTTTCGGGCTGTGTTCAGCTCAGCTGTTGAGCTGATTTCGCAGCGACATAATACACTTGTAAAACATTCAGTAACTTAAAGCCCAGTGCTGAGGCCACATGCCCGCACCGCGCCCCCTCAGTCCCTGTGAAATTATCGTATTTCAATTGAATTTCTCACATGCGATTTGCATAATTGAATTTGGACTTGCAGTGCCGCCATCAGATGGTTTTGGATAATTTATGGGGACCAAAAACCGAACGACAACGCCGGTTTGAGCCGCTCATTTCTGGATAATTATGCCGCTGAAGATGCGTCTGCTTTATTTTTATCGATGCGCATTAAAAGGCTTTTAAAATTTATTGATATTACCAACTCTATTAAATTATGCCACCACCTCGGTGTATGGATGGTTGGCTCTTTGTGCTGCTGCCGCTGCTGCTGCTGCTGCTGCTGCTGCTGCTGTTTTTGTTGCCTTGATGCCTGTTTTACAGCCTGACTGAGTGACGCCTGGCGATGGCAGCAAATTTTCCATGTCGCCAGTGGCAGGAGCAGCAAACAGCAGCAGCTACATCAAGGGCGCTGCTGCGTCCGTTGACTGGCAGCAAAATTGGCAATTCCAAGGCAGCAGCGACGGCGCAGGCGACTTTTTCCGGGGGGGGCGTGGCATGGGGCCGGGCTCAAACTCAATTTGTGTGAAAAATACTTTTAGTTACTGTGCATATTTTAAATGTTACACACAGCGGCAGCCACAAGAGCAGCAACAACGCATCAGCGTGATGTGAATTTTATTTTATATATATGCGAGTATATATACAAAAATGGGGAAAAACTTAAAAATTATGTTTCACACAACGAGCAGCATGAGCGGTAAGCTGAATATGGGATAAATTAATGCATAAAGACTGGCAGCCATTGAAATCAGTTTATTATGCGCACACATACACAAGCACTATGCCGGCATACGCGGCGTATGATTGATAAATTTGCACTTTGAAAGCACTCAAAACGTAAAAAAGTAAGGTGAGCAAATAGAAAGAAACTGCGCCCACGAATAGAGTAAACAATAATATACTATTGGGCTACAAACTACCTAAGAATTGGAAGCAATTATAAGAGAAATACATTTTGAAAATATCTAAACCATCAAAATTACCTTCAAACTACGTTAAAATACTATAAAATTCATGTTATTTTATTTTTGTTGAATATGTTCCATTACCATACATTAAACATAATTTAAAATTCTATTTAATGGGATCTTCCACATTTTCAAAAAGGCAAAAGACTGCATCACCGCGCTAATTCATATTCATGGCGTGTTTAGGGAATCCAAATTGTAGTAATATAGTGGATTAATTCGGTGACAGGATTATAATTTTTTTTGCCATCGGACATCAGAACAAATAAAATCACATAAAATGTAATAAATAATATCTAATAGCTAATAGTGTTTAAATTA